GAGTCCCTTCATCTCCTTGTACGTCATTTTCCGCCTCTGTGAAATGGGGCAGCGGTATCCACCTCAGGGCGTCAGTGTGGTGATGAAAAGATCCCAGCACATGGCCGAACCAGCAGTGGTCATCAGTAAATGGCAATGGTCTTAGCTTGATTTTTGTTCTTCCACAAAAAAGGCACCTCCTTATCAGCTCCTCCTCTTACCCTCATCAGATGGGGCTCCCAAAGGGCAGTGTCTGAACTGCTTCTGTGTTTTATCTGAAACAAACGCTGGTCCTGTCCTGATGTGGAGTCGGGCCCCACATGGTCCTGGCCAGCCAGCCCAGCTGCCGCGCAGAGAGGGTGGGGTGCGGCCGCCGCCGAACGCCCAGTGACCCCCATCCCTGCAGCCCGCCCAGCTGCGGGAGCGTTTGTTTCCTCCCTGGGAGCGATGTGGGAAAGGGTGTTCCAATAAAAACTCCCAGAGGAAGAAGCGGGCCGATTAAACGGTGTGCTGTCTTTCCTCTCTGGGACTTTGGGGAAGTGACTGAGGAAGTTTCTGGAATTCTGGGTCCCTGGGAGGAAGTACCCAGGCTGTTGGGAGCCCTGTTGTCTGGCCCTGGGTTGTCAAATTGTTTCCATACCCCTGGGGCCCAGGAAGTGCTACCGTCTCCAAAAGGTGGCCCCTTGCTGGGTCATGGAAGCCGCCCAGTTGATTCCTCCTGGCCTGCTCCCTCCTTCGGGGAAGTAAACACAGGCAGGCTGTCTTAAAGAAAACCAGGCTTTTAACTGTGACTGATTTCACTCTGAAACCGTCTCCTCCCTCAGGCTGACGTGACTGATGCCTTTCTCTGCGGAGTTCCCAGAACACTCCTTCAGTTAACACTCAGCAGTTATGTACCGTCCACCAACTGCCAGCATCGCTAGGTACCTGGGATCGTGTAAGGCATAAACCGTCTTTTTTCATGGAGCTTACATTCCCGCAGGGAAGACAGTCGGTAAACAAATAAATGAGTAAATAAATAACATGGTCATGGAGAGTTAGGGCTTTGAAAAAATCAAGTAGGATGTTGGTCCAGAGAGGAGAGAGGTGATGGTAGCCACAGTGATCAGGAAGGATGGGCATTAGAGGAGGGGACATTTGAGCAGAAGCTTGAATTAAGTGAGAGAACAGACCACACGGATGTGAGGGGAAGAGTGTGGCCGGCAGGAGGAACAGTGAGCACGGTGGCCCTGGGGTAGGTGCTTGGGAGCAGAAGACAGGCAGCAGCTGGCAGTCGGGAGGTGGCAGGGCCCAGATCACCCACGATAGTGTTTCTCACCCTTTTTTCATGACCGCCCCCTCCCTAAAACTTTACTCCCACAGATGAACTGCGTGCTTGTATGCACTGTGTGTATACACGAAAAGCGTAAGGTGTTTTCTGCCATCTCAGAGCTAATCCTCTCCCGGCTTTAGGAGAACACTGCCCCTGTTGAGAATGCGTGCTGCAGGGCCCTCTAGCAGTTTGAAGGAATTTATATATTCCAGCCTATTTGAACTAAAAGTATTCAAGACAACAGCTCCATAAACTACCCCTAAGGTTGCACTTGGGTGTCTAATAGACATCTCAAACTTCAAATGTCTAAAACTGAACTGCTATTCCACTCCCAAACCCGCCTTCCATGCCCAGCTTCTGCATCTCAGCACCCCCCTTCCTCAGGCCGAGGAAACTTGAAGCGTCTTGACTCCTGTTTCTCTCCTGTTCCCCCTACTTCTTACCCTTTCTCTGCTGCCACCCTGGCCCAAGCCCCCACCATCCCTCCATCACTTACCTGGTCTACTGCAGTGGCTTTCCACCTGGCCGCTTCGCTTCCGCTCTTGTTTGCCGGGTCGTGGGTGCCCTGTGAGTGAGGAGGAAGGAGAGAAGGTGGAGAATGGGCCAAGGGTTGTCTCGATGGGCTCTGTGAGCCAGAGGGAGGCGGGGGGTGGGGGAAGTGGAGGAGTTCTACCTGCTCCCGGGGCTCCTGCCCCAGCCAGCATCCGCGTGGGAAGATGGAGGCTGGGATACAAATGCCAGCTCCCGGTGGGGCTCACACTCCTACCCCTTCCTGCCTCGCTGGCCTCCCTTCCTCCCCACGCAGGTCTCCTGCAGGCACTGGCCTCATTGCCCTCTCGTCCCCTAGATGCGGCATCCTTCCTCACCAGAAGTAGGCTCTGTTCTTCCAGCAAACATTGCTGAGGGCCACTGTGTGCCCGCCCAGTGCCGGGGGAACAGGGGCCACTGGGACGCGGACTTGTGGGTGAGGCATAGCCCCCACCCACGTCCACTTCACGTAGAACTCATCCTTCATCCCCAGCGCTCTGGCAGGGATTTCCTGGCCTCCCCCTGCCATGCTCTCAGTGCCCCCTGAACTTTCTCCTCTTAGCATTCACCCCACGTGTGATCCAATGCCTTGCGATGATCGATTGTACTGCTGTCCGTCTGGCCCACCAGACTGCGGACTTCATGCAAGCAGACCCAGGTCCACGTTGCTCGCTGCCTCCTCCACAGCCTGCCTGGCATCCACCAGACCATTGGAACTTAATAAACATTTATGGGGAAACAAGCGGGGGTGATAGGCGGGGTGCGGAGCTGAGAGGAAGGAAGTTTAAACTCATCAGTGAGGGAGAGAGGGAGGCCGACACACCCCTCCTCCTCCCAGCGATCACTGGGGCTTGTATACGTGTGTCTGGGAAAGGGGATTCCACCTGGAACTCACTGTAAGGAGCACAGCCAGGCGGTTCTTTGGGAGCCTTTCTTTGGGCCTCTTATCTCGGTGGCCTTGGGGCCACCGAGGAGGGAAATGCCAGCCATTTCGAGGGCCAGAGCACGCAGAGCATGCCTCCCCCACTGCTGGCCTGGCATTTCAGGGTCATGGCCAGAGCCACTGTGAGCAGTGGGATGCCGCTTCTGGGGTCTGGTGAGCAGTGACGGTTCTTCAAGAGCCTAGCTGCTGGGGGATGTTGTCACCGAAACTAGACCCCTGGGAGGTGGGTGGGGAACCCCCCATTGCTTTCCCTGATGTTCTACTTCCTGAATCTGAGGAGCAGGGCACAGTCCAGCTTCCGCCACGTCTACCCTCCCCCTCCAGAAGGCTCTTCTCATGCTCCAGCAGGGCCTGGGGGACAACAGGTGTTTCCAGGGCCTGGCAGTGGTCGCCTGTGGTCTCCATCCTAGCCCCTCGGCACGCAGGCCCCTGGACCTCTGTCTCCATATCTCCCTTCAAACTAGCCCCAGGCTAATCCCATCCCCTGTTCAGGGCTGTCACTCTGACTTCAGCAAGTGATGCTGTTTATGGTAAGACTTGAGGGGTAGGGGAGCCCATGGAACAGGAGCTGGGAAAGCTGATTAGACTGATCAGGAAATGACACTTGCCCTTTGAAACAGGCTGCACCAGACGGATTTCTTTTCTCCAAACAGCATGCTGTTTTCCTCATATTGTCCATGTTCCCCTAAACCTGCTGCCCTTTCCCCTCATTTCTACCTGGTGAATAACTTTTCATCCTTCAGAACCAGCTCAAACAGTGGAACGTCCTCTGGAGACACCCCCACCCCAACCCTCCTCATACCACCAATGGGTGTGACTTTTCTATGGGTCTCAAAACCATTGGCATTAATCAGAGCACTCTCCTGTCGTGCAGTCACACCTGTGTCACCTTATGACCAAGGGCTCTCTGGGAGCAGTAATGGATATTATTCATGTCCGTAAAGCCTAGTGCCCAGCCTGGTGCCTGGCACCCAGTGGGTGCTCCATGTTGAGGCCCTTCATTAATGAGCATCTTAGGAGAAGCTTCCCAGGCAAGAGGGCCTCTGAGGGGCCTTGAAGGCTGTGTGGGGTTTGACAGTGTCCCATGTAGAAGGCCAGGGTGAGCTTTCTCTTTGTGTGTTTACTTGTTTGTTGCCTGTGTCCTCACGCTGGAAGGGAAGTTCTGTGGGGACAGGGATGTTGTCTTTTGCGTCCCCAAAGCTTCCACAGAGCCCAGCACAGGGAAGGCACCTAGTATCTGTTTAGTGAATGAATGGATGAAGTTCTGCCAGAAGTCTTCATGGTGGAGGCAGAGTTTAGGGGACTCTTTGAAGGAAGCAAAGGAAGGAGTTTCAGGATCCAGGAAGAATGAGTATGAAATGAGGAAAAAGTGGCTGGAGCAGTGAGGAGCTCCCCAGGGTGGGGAGCAGAATGGACCGAAGGAGTGGAGGGGATCGGGGACCCCGGCGGGGTCTGGAGCAGGGTGCTGAGACAAAGGCTCAGGCCCAGGAGCCCTGGCACGTGGCAGATCCTTCGTGCCCTGAACTGTGGGGAGCGGTCACCTTCCCTGGGTGCTGACGGGACCCTGCCCCTGGCTTGTGCACGTAGAGGAACATGGCCCTCAGCACGTGGCATCCAGACCAGGGCACCAAGGACAAGGAGAAGGGACAGAGTCTCCCGGGGGTCCTGGTGTAAGGGATTGAGATGCTGCTTGCGGGGGTTGGGAAGGAACATGGCAGACGGCCTCTGCATCAACTCCAAGTCTGATGAATACACCCGCCCCTCTCAGGGAGAAGCGGAAAGTCAGTTCATAATGAATGAGGCCTTTAAAGCTTCCGTCCAAGTCCAGTCATTATCGCAAGAAAGGTCATCTGGGATCTGACGACCAAGATAGGTCCCTGTGCCACGTGCCAGGCAGGGGTGTTTGGGCCACGTGCTGGCTGGCAGAAAAGGCAGGCTGTCCTCCTGCTGGGGGGCCTGTGCTGCCAATCCAGGGACATGTGTGTGGACCCGTCCAGCAGAGGGGGAGAAACACGGTCCTGACTTGCAGTCACCTGAAATGAGGAGCGCCTCTTCTGTGCCCGGCCTGCCCACCGGCGGTCACATCCCCATCATGACTGGGTTCCTCACCTGCACCGACAGGCAGAAGTCCGAGCTCTTCTCACAGCTGAGAACAGCGAGGCTCTGAGAGATACTTGCCAGGGCCACCCAGTGTGCAAATGGGAGCATGTTGCAAACTGCTGTCCTCTGTCATTCCAGAAAACGCCACTGCCAGTGTGAGCGAGGCGGAAAGGAAGGCCCAGGTGTATTACCGTGCATGTATGAATGAAACCAGGATTGAGGAGCTCAAGGCTAAGCCCCTGATGGAGCTGATTGAGAAGGTGAACCCTTGCCCTGCTCCTCCCACAGCCCTCTCCCTTTTACCCCTGTCCCCTCCCCATACTCCTCTTCCCCGTGACCCCTGCCCTAGCTTCCGTCCCAGCTCTCAGCTACCACCAGGACCCCGCCACCTCACCCCTCCAGCCACCTCACCCACCTGGATCAGAGTCTGTCTATCTGCTGACGGGTCGGGCTGAGTGTGTGTGCGCATACGTGTGCACCTCGGCAGAGCCGGGAATGTCTGTGTCGTTGTGTGGGGATGTCTGTCACGTGTGTGTGTCTCTGGGCACCTGTGAGTGGTCCACAGGCCAGCTGTACAAGGAAAATGTTTCTCTATGTTGCTGCTTACTTTTCCTCAGAGGGCATGTTTGTGTGTGAGGTGGGGTGTGTTCTGGAAGGACCAAGAGAAAGCCTTGGATCAGAAGCAGAGCCCTCCCTGTGAGGAGGGCTGCACTGCCCTGGGGCCTCCACGTCCTGCTGAGCAGAATGAGTCTTCTTCTTCCTGGGCACCTTCCAGTCAGCTTCAGATGAACTCTGAGGGGACTGTCCAAAGCCAGCCGGGCTGCCCAGCACACATGGAAGGGTGGCCTGGGTGTTTTCTGGCAGCCTTCTGCTCCCTCCCCCAGTTCCTCTTACCCCTGCCCCTCCCCCGGCTGGGTGGGGCACTGGCAGATGGGGAGCTTTGGTCACTGGGGAGTGGACAGTCTCTCCCCTCCGGCACAGGCCTCACGTGCCAACACTGACCCAACCAGGGAAGACTGAGGAGATTAAAAAAGTCCCAGCTCTGAGAGAAACTCAAATCAACCATAATTCATCGACCTCTTAAAAAATACAGACCTTTTTTTTATGGACACAGTTGAATTTCTGATGTAATAGGAATTATATTCACTGTAGTTCATTGATTGAGTATTCAAAAGTGACCAGAGTACAGGAAAAGTCTCCTTCCCATCCCCTTCCCCAGCCACCGAGGGAGCAGCCACATGTGGCTTCATGACTCTCCTGTTTAGGCTAAGTCTTTGCTCCCTGGGGATCTCCAGCTCACTGGCTGGAAACCCCTAGTGAAAACAGACAGTCCCTTTCATTTGCTCCCGAGGCTCAGATAGGCCAGGGGGCTGCAGAGGGTCACAGAGCAAGTCAGCCGCAGAATCAGAATCTCCCCCGGGTCTCCCACCACCTCATCCCCTCCCCATTCCCTCTCCATCCCCACAGCTTGGGGGCTGGAACATCACCGGGCCCTGGGACAAGGACAACTTCCAGGACACCCTGCAGGTGGTCACATCCCACTACCGCACCTCGCCCTTCTTCTCCGTCTACGTTAGCGCCGACTCCAAGAACTCCAACAGCAACGTGATCCAGGTGAGCTGGCCTGGAGGCCCAGGAAGAGCACGGGGCATGATCTCAGGGCCTGCTTAAAGTTTAGCAAGCAGCGGGGTAGGGCACTTGCCCTGGGCTGCAGGTTTCTGGTTTCTGGGCCTTGGTTATTTCTGCAGGCTCCCAACTGTGAGATTTTTGCGGGCAAGAGGTTGTAAAAGGGCAGGCTTGTCTTCCTTGAGTGGGTGGGCTCACTGCCGCACAGGTGAATCTTTGGGGTTCTGATTGGTCACTGTGCACCCCAAGAGTGATGTCAATTTCTGGGCACAGCTGGAGCCACCTCCTGGTCTCCCCACCTCAGCCCCCGAACTTCATGGCTCTGCTTGGGATGGCTTTGAGTCCATCTCTTCCTGCCAGAGCCTGCCCCAGACTGAGTATCAGAACACCCAGGGGAGCTCCAGCCCTGGTCTGCCCATCCTCAGATGCAGAGGCAAGAGACCAAGGCTGGGGGTCCTGAAGACTGAGTTCCCACCCACCTCTGCCACTCACTCACGGTGTGACCTGGGGCAAGTGCCTCAACCTCTCTGAGCTGCAGTTTCCCTGTCAGTCAAATGAACTACATAACACCCACTCTAGGCAGGTCAAAGTGGTTCTGATAAGGGTCAAGTAGCTATCAGGGACTGACCCTCCCCACCCACCCAGCAATCAGCAAGCCCCTCCGTGGGCACTCTGTCCTTGAATCTTCATCCCAGCCCTGAGGGTTAGGTGTTATTTCCCCTATGTTCCAAATGAAGAACCTGAGGACCAGAAAGGTTCAGTAACTTGACCAAAGTGACAGAGCTTGTGAGTGGCTCTCAACCGCTCACCATCTTGGGAGGAGTAACGAAGTAGAGGTGCTCTGCTGAGCCTCGGAGGAGTTTAAAGAGGAAGGTGGCTCTGTCTGGCCCTTCAGAAGGGCCCGGAATCTCTGCATCTGACCACGTGTGTGGGAAGGAACACAGCCCCTCACTGGGGGCCCATCCTGGGGTGGCCTCAGCTACCAGCCTGTGCTCCTGCTGGGGCCCGAGCTAGTTCTCTCTTGCTACGTGCCAGCTGTCCCCACGGTGGGCAGAGGCCGTGCCTGTGCAGGTGTGTGCATATGTGACAGGTTATCCCCCCTCATTCCTGCCTTTCTCTCCAGGTGGACCAGTCTGGCCTGGGCTTACCCTCAAGGGACTATTACCTGAACAAAACTGAAAATGAGAAGGTAGGTGTGCCTCTTCAAAGAGAGTGACTCCTGTCTAGCCACCTCTCTCCCTGGTTTGTTCCCATCAGGGTCCCCTCAGTATCCACACCTGTGCAGGTCATTAAAGCTGAAGGAGCATAGAGGTGTCACTTACCTAATAAATGATAGACAGTCCCTGGCAGGGAAGGGTTGTCATTTGTCCCCATTCTAGATTGAGGCTTTTTCACATTCAGGCACCGTGGACACAGTGGGCAGGGGACAAGTCCCCATTCTCAAGCAAGGCAGTGATAATGGCCACCACCTCTTATACACATTACCTCTGGCCTTCCAACTAACCCTGAGATTCTCATCCAGGTCCACTAACTCCAAAGCCCACACCTCTCCCTCCCCCGGCTGTCTTTCGTGATGTCCTGGGGAGACCTGGTCTGAGGTTCATTGTCTGTGCATTCATGATCCCACCCCCTTGTACTGAGCAATTCCTACTAAGTGCCTGATGCTGGGGAGAAAACGGTGAACAAGACTGGCCTGGTCCCTGCCGCACAGGACTCTGAGCCTAGGAGGGGAGGCAGATGTTGAATAACTAACCACCGGATTAGCAGCATGATGACAAATTATGATAAGGGAAGGGTGAGCCGAGAGAGAAAGTAACCCAGGGACCTAATTCAGATGTGGGAGCTTGGTAGAGCAGGGTGGTTCAAAAGAAGCATACCCCAAGAACTGAGAGATGGCCCCATTGGTGGCTGTCCTGTGACAAGTGTCCAGGAGGGAGTGTGGGCCAGGGCAGGGCTTTATCCTGAGAGCCACAGGGAACCAGTGAAGAGAGGCACTGCCAGAATCATTCTTGAAGCTAGTTTCCAGCATGTTTTCCAGGGTCAACACCCAGCCCCGAAGCCCCCTGCACTGGGCTGCAGCTGGCCTGCCCCACCCTGTCCCCCTCGTCCAGTGGGCAGTGGCAGCCTCTGATGGATGGGGGGTGCCGGGTCCCACAGGTGCTGACAGGATACCTGAACTACATGGTCCAGCTGGGGAAGCTGCTGGGCGGAGGGGACGAGGACTCCATCCGGCCCCAGATGCAGCAGATCCTGGACTTTGAGACGGCGCTGGCCAACATCACCATCCCCCAGGAGAAGCGCCGGGACGAGGAGCTCATCTACCACAAAGTGACGGCGGCCGAGCTGCAGGTAACTGAGCTCTGTGTGGCGGCGGGGATAGCCGTGGAATTCAGGACGTAAGGCACTGGGCTGGGGGTGTTTACACTTACTTCATCAGACCCTCAGGACAGCCCCATGAAGCAGGGGTGGTTGTTATCCTCAATTCACAGATGGAACTGAGGCTCAGAGAGGTAGAGTTACCTGCTGAAGGCCACACAGCTGGTGACTCCAAAGGTAGTCTCTTGCCCTACGCCAGGCTGCTTCTCTGAAACAGCATTTACCTGGGAAGACTCTGTGATCATGATAATAGCTCACATGGATTGAGCATTTCTGGTCTCGAGCTCAGGTGCATCAAGTCTGGTGTACAGCAAATGAACGTGAGGGGTGGGTTCTGTCGTCACCTCCCTTTTCCAAGCCAGGGGGTTAGGTGACGTGTTCCTAGGTGGCAGTGGAGCTGGGCACTGGACTCAGGCTTGGCTCACTGAAGCTCTGCTCTTGACCGCGACCCCTGGCGACCTCCTGGACCTGTAAAATCCGAATTGCAATGCTCTCTGTACTGAGTGTTACCCATCTGAGAAGACGGCCCCTCTGTAAGTCAGCCTCTACCAAAGGCTGCCCCCTGGTGGCTACTTGGGACTTGCAGGTGGTGAGTTGATGGTCTGCTGGTTTGTTCCTTCTTTTCAGTTCATGGCAGGTTGGTGTCCAGCCTTCTCCCAGGTTCTAGGGTCACAGAGGAACCAGCACAGTGACTTTGGCCAGTATTCCCATTTCCTGCCATGGGATGCTTGGCTGGGCTCGCTCTTCCACTGGAAAGGATGTCCACGCCTCTCCACCAAAGTGCCTCCTCCCTTTTTTCTTCCTCTTCCCAGCCAAGTCCTGCCCACCCATTAGAGTTTGGCTCATTTCCTCTCCTTTTGTGAAGAACACCTGGGCCCCTACCCCTTTTTCTCCTCCGTCCCTCCATCCGACAAGGGTCTGTGGGGCCACCTTGGGGCTTGATCTTGATGTGCTTCCAGGCAGGTCGGGGACACCAGTGCGGAAAGAACCCCAGTCTCATTGCTGAGTGCCTTGGGCAAGAGAGGCAGGACACGGGGGCCAGGGGCAGGACGAAGTCAGGGAGGGTAGGTCTAAAGATTGGGTGAGCAGTAGCTGGGCAGACCAGGTGTCCCAGGCAGAGGTGCGGTCCACGCAGAGGCTGGGGATGATGGCAAGAGAGCCTGGCCCCCTTCTGGGGGCTAGCTGCCCATTAGGTCCCCAGAGAAGCTGGCATCAGGGTGAGTGGTGCTGGCTGGGTTGTTATGGAGATGAGCAGCCTGTGTTGGGCACCATCTGGCACTGTTTTTCCACTCTGAGGCCAGGAGATCAAGGGAGATGCTGTTTGTGCAACATGATTTGATTTCATCCAGTTGCCCAGTTCTCAGCCCAAGGGACTCTGGCCATCCCTCCCCACAACGGTGGCCACAATGCTGACTAACAGCCTGAGAGTGGGCGAGGAAGCACAGCAGCCCCGCGTACATCTGCCCCAGCTCGGGTTCCAGGTTCTAGCCCCAGATGTCCTGTCACCTTTACTTTTGCTCTGTTCTTCCAAGCAAGAAAGGAAGGGCTTTTCCTCCCACCCAGCTGCAGAGCTGCCAGCATGGGGAGGCTTTTAGCAGAGGCAGCAGCCAAGCAGTGGTGTGAGCCCCGGGCTTGGAGTCAGAAGACCACTCCAGCCCAGCCCCACCATGAGCCTTGGGCAAGTCATATAACCTCTGATTTGAGCCTTAGTTTCCTTCCTTGTAAAATTGTCTTCACTCACTCATTCACACCTGCTCTGTTCTGGAAGACAGAGACAAATGAGGGGCAGTGGTTCTCACCTCCAGGTCACAGATTTCTTTGAGGACAGGTTGAAAACTACAGCATTTCTCCCAGAAGAAATGGGCATGGGTACATAGAAAAAAAAATTGTGTCTAGCATCTCAAAAAGTCCTGGACCCCTGAAGCCTGGTGCCCTGGATGGGTACTGGCTGGGCCTGCCCGGGGGCTGCATGATGCTGAGACGAGGCAGAGGATGAGGGCTCATTTTGTAAACTGCCGTGTGTGACTCTATTGTTACCGGTATTATTCCTTTGCTGTTGGCGATGACAACCCACGTCTCCAGCCCTGAAGAATTTGATTCTCAGACAGAAAATGTCTTTGTGTTCCCTAGTATCCGGAAATTTGGTTTTCTTCCTGTAGTCTAGGTGTCTCAGGGAAAGGTGTGCCACTTTTTGCAGTGTCCTTCTAGGCTCGCCCACGGAATGCTGGGTGGTTCTAGCCTGGCCCCCAGCAGCAGAACCTGAATTCAGAGCCATGAATCAGACATCTATCTGTTGCTTCTCTAAGGGCCTGAGGACCTTCCCATGCCTTTCCAGGACCTTCCACACCAAAAGCTGATTGGGAATGAGCCCCACCCTCTGCTCTCAATTCTCCAACTGAGACAGAGCCTAAGCGCATCCTCTTTTCTCTCCCACTTTGCAAGCCCACTTGAGCTGGGTGGTTGGTGACCAGCAGTTCTCTTTGGCTGCGGGTGTGGAAAATAGAGCTCATTGGTGTGCCCCAAAGGATTTGAGTCACAAGTGGAATGTCTGGTTGGTTAAAACAGCCATCTCCATGGAGACAAGCACACGTGTTTATTTTAGGAGTTCGCTAAAGCAATAAAGATTGAAAATGTGACAATCCTGGTATTGAACACACCTTATTTCAGAGTCATGGAAATTTACCTGCACAGAACACCTGCTCTTCTAAAGGAACAGGCTTGGGTTAAGTATATAGAAATTTATCACCACCTGGTATCTGTACCCCGATCAGAGAGTTCTAGTCACCTGCAGTTCTTGAAGCTCTCGTTAATTGTACAAACAACAACATTTTTTAAACTTAGCAATTTTCCCAGGGGTCTTTGCCAGCAGTCGTGCAGTTGGGTGGCTCTAAGTCCATCTCACCTGGACACTTTCAAATTTTGCAGCCACAGAAATTTGAGGAGGAGTTCCAGATGTTACCTGCTTGGGAGTGGCGGGGAGTGGCTCCTGCCAGGAAGAGAGGGTGGAATGGAGAAGCCAGGGAACAAAGAAACTCAGTTTATTGAGTAAGCCATCCCGAGAGGCACAGAGCAGCCAGGCCTTGGCAGGAATTGTTTTCTCCATTTTAGAGAAAGGGTGCAAAGTGACTTGAGGTCCCAGAGCTGGTTCCTGGTGGGAACCCCAAACCAGGTCTCACTCCCAGACAGGGCTCTTCTGTCATCTTGCTGCCAGACAGGCAGGGATGTGCTGGGGCTCCCTGGGCCCTGCTCTTCCGACCCCGGTGGGTGGTTTGCAGTAGGTCATGGTGGGAATACAAATTGTTCCCCATCACTGAGAGCCAGTTGGTAAATGTTTACCGGCACACCACGGCCTGCGGGACCTGCCCTCCTCTGTCCTTTGAGGTCCTTGTTCCCCAACAGCTGAGCGGCCCTTTAAAACCAGACAGACTGTGAAGTGGAAGGTTTTTATGGCTGTCTCTGCCCCTGAAGGTGTTAAAAATATTTACCACAGGTTATGGACTCATCGATGTTACCGACTGACATGGAATAAGAGGAGACACAGTGACAGCAACTGCGCTACTGTTGGTCGAGCCCCTCTCATGCCAGGCACCTGTGCACATTCTTAGTTGATCTTCTGTATGAAAACCATTTATAACGCATCTCTCACTTCCTCCATTTGTCTTGCAGTGGCCTTTTTTCAAGGGAACAGAGAACAGAGTTTGGAATCAGGCCCAGGACTGCTCTTAGGAGACCTTGAGCGATGATTGTAGTAGCTAATCAATGATTATAATAGTTAACATCAACTGAGTGCCTGCTAAATGCCAGAGACCATTCTAAGCGATTGACATTACAGGCATTTTTGCTGTAACACCAGTGCATGCAGTCCTGAAAAACCTGGCGTCCTGTAAAATGATGGACCAAAAATAACTAAAAATAACAGAACATATGGGAAAAATAGTACCAGAGCAGACCATTCAAAAGTTGTGTAACTTTGCTTGAGAACATCGTGCTGAGTGAAATTAGCCAGTCGCACAGGGACAAGTACTGTGTGGTCCCACTTACATGAGGTAGCTAGAGTAGTCCGATCCGTAGACAGAAAGCAGAATGGTGCTTGTCCCGGCCTGAGAGAGGGGCCTGAGGGGAGTTATTGTTTAATCGGTGCAGAGTTTCAGTTTTGCAAGGTGAAATCTGGGGATGGATGGTGGTGATGTTTGCACAACTAGAATGTACTTAATGCCACTGAACGGTACACTTAGACATGGCTAAGGTGGTAAATTGCATTGTGTGTATTTTACCATAGGTTTTTTTTTAAGTTATGTAACATGTAATCAAAACATTCACAAGACAGTAACTGGGACCTTGAAAGATAGCTCAGCGTGGCTGGAGGCTGCCTGGTGGGAAATGGAACTGTGGGCTGTGGACACAGACCCTGCCCACGGACGGGAGCTCGGCACGGCGGGGCTGCCCTTAGGTGGGCCCAGGGCTGCTGCAGCCTGCTGGGGGCTGGGAGTGTGCCTCTGTGGGTAGGGAGCCCCAGGAACAGGTGATCGTTTTTAAATTATCTCAAAATAGAGCTGACAGCTTCCTGTGTGTGCATCAGCTGAGCTGAGGGCTCTTCCTTTCTTGCTGAAGGATATCATCCTACCCTTGCTTTTCCAGATCCCATTCCTGAGAAAAGTCCCCCATGGGAGCACTTTACACACCCTACTGCTGTCACCTTTGCAGTTACCAGGCATCTAGAAGGCTGATCGTATACAGGCTAACTGATGTTAGGGAAGCACCTGTTGAGTAGAACAGACAGGATTAGCTTGTCTCATCCTCCCACCAACCCTGCAAGGTGGGTTCTGTGATGAAGACGAGCCTCACTTTCCAGATGAGATCCTGGAGCACAGAGGGGTTCATCCGCTTACTCCAAGTCACACAGCTAGGAAGAGTATGAACCCAGGCAGTTTGGCTCCAGATTCTACACACATCCATCACAGACTCATCTGAGGCTTAGTTTCTCCATCAATAAAGTGGGGATAACAGTACCTGCTGCCGAGGCTTGTCGTGAGGTCCAACTGAGAGAAGCTGTGTGAGTCTCTTGCAGTGGCGCCAGAGGGGTTTGACCAATAGTAGCGGTGGCTGCCGTCACTGTGTCTCTCTTATTCCTTGTCAAGTGTCAGGTGGGTGTTTGGCACCTTGCGGTTCTGTGTAGTGTCTCTGATGGAACTCAGGCAGCTGTGTTTGCCCTCTGCCCCTGCCCAGAGAGCCAGTGCCCAGCTCTCTGCCCCTGCCCTGGCAGCCAGCACCCAGCTCTCTGCTTTGTCTGGGGCAGGGGAGGTACAAGGACGCCTTCTTTGCAAGAACGCCCGGGAGACCTGGGCTCTGAAGAGCAACAGCCCAGCCAGAGCCACACTGTCCTCTCCCCTTCCAGGCCCTGGCGCCCGCCATCAACTGGCTGCCCTTCCTCAACACCATCTTCCACCCAGTGGAGATCAACGAATCCGAGCCTATCGTGGTCTACGACAAGGAGTACCTGGGGCAGGTCTCCGCCCTCATCAACAACACGGACAAGTGGTGAGGGCGCCTGGACGCCTGGGGCGGGCCCCCGCGGTCACACACATTCTCAGCCCGGGTGGGCGACGCGCTGACTCAGGACAGCAGGCCCTGGGCTGGCTTCATGAGAGGCAGCAGGGCACTGCGCCCCTCCGCCCACCAGCTTGGTGGCCCAGGGCACATTTCTTACCCTTTTGTGGGTTCGTTTTCCTCATCCATAAAATGGGGATATAAATAGCACTGACCGTGTAGGGCTGTTGTGAGAACTGAGTGAAATATTCGCTGTGAAGTATGTCAACACAGTGCCTGACACTGGGTGGGACGCAGTAAATGTTAGCTAATGTTTTTAATTAATATTTATCATTTTAATAATTTTTTATGTTATTTATTCTTGAGGGGGGAGAGGTAATTAGGTTTGTTTGTTTATTTTTAGTGGAGATACTGGGGATGGAACCCTGGACCTTGTGCATGCTAAGCACACGCTCTACCACTGGGCTATATACCCTTCCACCCATGGTTTTTTTTTGTTTAAAGATTTGTTATAGAAATTGTTTTAAACTACAAGGGAAAAAACCCCAGACTTAAAATTACCAAAAACACTCATGTTGCTGTTCTGGGATGTGTATTCATGTTTGTAGTGAAGCATGTTTGTGAAAGAGACAGAGGTGGATTTTCTAATACATGGTTCCTTTTTTTCCCCCATCATTGTGACTACATATATAGTCTTCTTTTCCCTTGACCTGAATCATAACCATCTTCCCTGTGTCATCCCAGACCCTCTGCAGGTCTCTTTTTCAAGGCTATCTAATATTCCATCAGGTATAAATATGACTATTTATTCACAGTTCCCCTGTTGTCAGACATTTAGCTTGGTTCCAGTTTGAGGCTGGGTGTTAGCCATAGTGAACACTGTATCTCTGTGTGCTAAGGTGACTTATTTGCAAAGGTGACAACAGCCACAGATGGTTTTCTGTGTCCAGGGGGTGAGCAGTGAGAGCTCTCATTCACAGAGGCCTTGGCCCAGCTGGCCAGAGCTTCCTTTCCTGCCCTTCCAATTCTTGGGCCCCCTTTCCTGTCTCTGGCCTTCTGGTCAGGACATCTCCAAGCTTTGGAAATAGACGCTCCTTCCCCACTCCAACCCAGTAGCACACCCCATCCAGAGTGAGTCTCCATGGGCATCCCCTAGAGATCAGTGGGCGGGAAATGCAGCTCACTATCCAGCCCGGGTTACTTCTGAGCCTGTCTGTCTTGCTCTCACTCCAGCCTGCTGAACAACTACATGATCTGGAACCTGGTGCGGAAGACAAGTTCCTTTCTTGATCAGCGCTTTCAGGATGCCGACGAGAAGTTCATGGAAGTCATGTACGGGACCAAGAAGGTGAGCCTGTTAGCGTGCGTTTCCACCCACATGCTGAGCTCCTCCTATGTGTCAGGCCCTGAAACTCGTGGCGGGTAGATAACAGGCAGAGAATGAAGAGGGCCATGGGAGGGGTCTGCCCTGGTGTCCCTTGGCGCCCAGGAGGGACCTAAGCCAGCTGGGGGTGGGCAGCAGCTTCCAGGAAGAGGTGATTACACTGAGTCAAAGTATAAAGAAGACAGCAATTTAGCTAATTTACAGCAAAAGCTGGCTTCTGCTCTCTCCCGCCTCCTTCTCGGTGGTGATGTTGATACAGGCTTTCCTTGTATAACTCATGTGACCGTCACTTCCCTGTGGGTGGGTATGATTATCATCCCCCTTTTACACAGGAGCCCCCCAGTAATAGTACTTCCTCCCCATAAACATAAAGCCCTTGGGGCAGTCCCCGGCTTCCGGTGAGTATGACATGAGAACTCACAGATGCCATCCTCCCAGGCCCCAGAACAAGTGGTCTCTACCACCTTTAAATGCCCCACCGTGACCCCGGCCCGCCAGCTACTGCCCCCTTCTCCCCAAGGAAGTGGAGGTCATCTTCTCATTCGTGTGTTCATTGACCCCCTTCCACCGTGTGCCAGGCTCTGAGCCAGTGTGAAAACACAGACACGTGAGTGGGGTCTGTGCCCCAGGACCCCCATGTGTGCTGAGGATGCTGATAGAAACTGATCAGTCTGCATATGTGCTGATGGGTTACACCAAGCCAGGGCCCCGGGAGGTGCCCCAGCCACAGAGCAGTAGAGGCTGGCATGCCAAGCCCACCTGGCACACCCTGCCCCCACCCAGGACAGCCGCTTGCAAGGCCCGGAGGGCGGACAGACCTGGCTCCAGCTGGACTCTGCCCCAGCAGCCCCACCCAGAGTCCAGTGGAGTGGGTGGAGCCAGATAAAGGCTAGCAGAGACTGGCAGGATGTGGGCACCTGCCTCCCGCCCTGGAGTTCATCCTGGGAAAAGTTCTCCTTTTCTCTCCCTCCCCATGTACACCCCCTCTGGCAGGAGGGGACCTGAGGGAGAGGGTGGCTGGGAATAAGTCCTGCTCCTGACAAGAGGGGCTTCCGATGGCACCATGGGGCCTCAGCTGCAAAGGCCATGCTGGCCCTTCAGGAAAATGTGAGGGAAAGACTTGGCTGCCCTGCCCGTCTTCCTGCTCCACCTGCTCTGACCTTGGACCAACCCTGGGTCACAGACATAACAAGGCATGGACTCTGTCCCCTGGAGCACTTGGTCTTCCAGGGGGCTTTATTCAGGAGGGGTCTGACCAGGACCCAGGATGGTAGTTATAGAGACGGCTCTGTGTGTGGAGCACACACCTCC